ACTTTAATAAAATCTTACCATGTTAATATTCTTACCAAAGGACCAATTCTAACTTAATCCTTCATTATAACCTGACCTTGTCCCCGATCCCAAGCTTTCTTTAGACACCAATTCTACTCATTCTGTAGTCGTAACTCATGTCATTAAATGCTAATTTCATGACATTAAATGAGATTTGCATTTAATGACATGAATTATGACTTCAGAATGAGCAGAACTGGTGTCTAATCACACAGATGTGTCTAATGAGTCAGAGACATGTCATCTCTGTCTCACCTGCATTTGAACTTCAGACTTATAAGCCAGTGTTTACAAGTAAGAGTAAAAAATGCAAGCAAAGAAGAAACTTAGAAGAACTGGAATACTTCAGTGCTGTACGCTTCTGTATCTTCCACAAGATTCTGAACCTCAGGGTTACTGTGCTGAAGCAGAATAAAGCCAACTTAAATTTTCTCTGTCACATAATAAATCATAAAGACTTGGGAAAACAGAAATGAGATAATCCTTCTACCTTAATATATCATAACAGCTTATTTTCTTCTGGTCTTTTATGTGCAGGTTTTCAATACAGTTGAGGTTAACTGTACGCTTAATTGTGCATTTTAAAGTTGAACATCCAAGCACAGACTTTTTCATGTCGTTCAGAGCCCTTACTCTGAATAGCCGGGTCATAAGCCAGGGTATAGATTTACCAGAGTTTACTGGAGCACTTCCTTGTGCTGTTTCCCATTCTTAGTTAATAAAAATAGCAAGAAGTGGGGATAACAGCATATAGCTCTTCCCATATGTTGGACAATTTCTTTAGGACAGAGTCTTAGAAAAAAAATTTTCAGTTAACAACAGTAAGAACTATTTTATATCTCTTGATACCTAAGACTTGCATGCCAGATCCTATGGCCTGGTGGTATGAAAGCCAAGGCCACATGCACACTAGCAACGAAGGCAGTGGGTGTATGTTTATTCATTTTGCTCACTTACTAGGAAAAGCTATATCATGGCTTTAACCTGCACCACCTTGACAGATGTCAACTTCAAAGTTAATCAATTGCATTTCCTTCTACATCTAGGAAAGACATTCAATCACAACAGCATGGGTATTTACCTGTGTGACACCTTTTATGATAAATCAGCATGTGGTTCTGAGTGAATCTTGCACCACATTCATCACAGACAAAAGGTTTTTCCCCTGTATGAATTCTGAAAGTACAACATTCAGATGATAACTTAGGATGTATTTCAAAGCTTACTTTGCAGTACAATTTCCACTCTATCCTGCAAAAATCATTTATTCCAAGAGACCTAATGAGAATGACTGTAGTGACAGGTCAAGAGCCCATAATCTCCATCCCAAAATAAACTGAGTTTCTGCACAAGGTCAATGGATCCACATATTTTCCCTAAGTCACTGACCGGAATGTTCATCTACACCTGCTCATAAGCCCTGCTGCTGGTGCTATAAGGCATGTGCAGGTAGAGACCAGGCCTTTGCAGATTTTTTAAAACACTAAAGACCACCATCTAATATTTGTAAAGCTATCTCATACAGAATAATCAGCCACAAACACCTTAGGAACTACTGCTGATTAAGTGTCACATGATCAAAAATGTTACTCTCATTTCCTAATATGACATAACCGGTAGAGAAAGGAGAACTGTTCTCAAAATGCTGAAGGTGGCATTTTTAAAATGCATAGGCATTTTAATGTCACAACTAGTATGAAGCAGCAATCAACCATAATTTACTGAGCACTTCCTAAACCAAGTATTTTTAACTTATTAGATAGAGTAAAAGATGAACACCATGCTACTAACCCAAGACTGACCTAGGTTTGAGGGCAGAACTAGAATAGAACAGAAAACAATGGCTTGTTGGGATTTCAAGAATAAACATACTAAGAACTATAAGGAAACTTATTTAAAAACATCACCACACACCTATAGTTCAGAAACATATTAAGAAACAGAAAGCATTGTCTGTCCAGATTCTGGAGTGTAGACTGCCCAGATGGCACTCCTTCCAAGCCTGAGAACCGAAAGACCAGAGACGAATCCTAAAGCCCTAAATGGCATCTCACTGAGGTCTCTACTGAGACTGTGGGACCTGGGGGGGGGGTCACAGAACTCAAGATCTAAACGAAGAGTCAGGAAAGGAGAAATAAAGGCAACGAGGCCCAACTCTTCCTCCAGCACAGCGGTGAAAGCCCGTGGCCACTGTCGCAGTCCCACCAGGGGGACGTCCATGCCAGCAGGGGCGCCCCGGGGGTCTCAGAACAAGGGAGCAGAGCCATCATTCGCAGCCCCTCTACCTTGACAGAGAACTCAACGCTGTCTCGAAATAAGCCCCCAGATTTGGAGAGGAGAAATTAAGCAGTGAGACATCACTGGGTCCAAATCCCAGGACGACCTCAGTGCTTGACACGCCCTTCCAGTGCGCAGGGACCCCTCTGGACGGCTCCACGCGTACCTCATGTGCGTCTTGAGCGCAGACGGCTGCGAGAACCTGGCGCCGCACTCAGTGCAGCCGTAGGGCCTGTCTCCCGTGTGTGTGCGCTCGTGCAGCCGCAGCGCAGTCTTGGAGCTCAGGCCCTTTCCGCACTGGCCGCAGCGGTGCCGCTCGCCTCCACCCTCGTGCACCTGCAGCACGTGCCGCTTCACGTCCTTCTTGCGCTTGAACTTCTTGCCGCACAGCTCGCATGGGAAGTGGCGCTCGCTGCTGTGCACGTGGCGCTGGTGGCTCTTCAGGTTGCAGCGGTTGGCGAAGGTCTGGCCGCAGGTGTCGCAGCGGTACACCACTTCAGTGGCCACGCCGTGGCGGTGCTTGCTGTGCTTCAGGAAGCTCTTCTCATACAGAAACGCCTTCTCGCAAATGCTGCACTTAAAGTTGCTCTTCTTCTTCTCCCCTTCTTCGTCCTCCTCCTCCTCCTCCTCCTCTTCCTCCTCCGGCCCTGCTTTCTTCGACACTTCCTCCAACTCAGCACCCACCTGGCAACCCTCATTTTTGGAAATTGGCTCCATCTCTGTGCCCACCCTGTCCGGGCTTTGGTCCTGGGGACACCTGTAGTCCCCCATGTCACCCTCAGCACTTTTCTGCTGCTCTCGGAGTCTTCTCGTATATTTCTTTTTAGGGATCTCCACAAAGACCTTCCTCCCAGCCAACCTTCCACTAGCTCTCCTGATTTTAGGGTAGGGAGGCTTAACTACCTCTTTCTTCTTGTCTAGTTTGTCCTTGGACTTCTTTGGTGGCAAATCTGAAGACATGCCATTGCTGGCTATCTCTCCTGGGTAGCCCAAGGAATCCGTGAGACCATTGGGGTGAGGGCCATCCATGGCCACACTTGCCCTGGGGGCAGGAGCAGCACTAACTTGGGAGCCACTGCTCACCTCCACCTCCTGGGACTCTGAGAAATTTTGCAACTCCAAAAGTACCGACTCTAACATCTGTTTTTTTAACTGAAAACAAGTTTCTGATAAGTCCAAACATTTCAGCTTTTCAGCCATTTCCAGCATTCGTTGCACCCGATCTTCTTCCACCTGTACCTTTGCAGTGTAGACAAACTCAAGAAATGAAGCAAAGTCAGCAACCTGCACTTCATTTAAGTAGACATTAGTCCTAGTACCATCCCCACTCTTCTCATTAAGGAACACTTCCTTAAAAAACTTGCTGGTGGCAGCCAGCACTGCCTTATGGGCCATGAAGTCTTTGCGGACGCCCTGATATTCCACGCTGACTGTCACATCACACAGGTGACCCAGGAGGCGAAGTTCATGCATCTCATGCAGTAGGTTAAATGGGGAGGATTTGGATTCCAGCAGAACCGCACCGCTTTCCATCTTTCTTCCTTCCAAAAACAGCTTTGAAAAAGAAACAAGAATTATGCATGAGCAACCACTGAAGCAAAAGGACTAAAATTTATGAGGATTCCTTCAGTACTTGAGAAGATATAGACTCATTAACAATCTAGCATTACTCAGGTAAAGATTCGAATGACATTTTACTTCTTAGCACAGTTTTCTAAAGTGAAGTTCCTCATGCATTTTCCTAAGGTAATAAATTGGCATGAAAAAAATGTGTATTCTAAGATTTGCTCCAGTGATAAACAAATGATGGAAGCTGTGATTAGTGAAATACATTAACACAGTATTTTGCTCACCAAGGTCACTGTCTAATTTGCTTACAAATATAGACCCCAAAACTATAAAAGAATTCATGGCAACAATAACGTCTAGTTCTTTGATCAGGACACCAGATAATTAAAACTCATAGCCACCACCATCTGGGAGCAAATCCAAAACCTTAGGGAATCATTTCTGCCTTTGAAAAGAACCAACTAAATAACTACTTTCCATGAGGAAAACTTCTCGGAAAAGTAGTTCCCAACATCCTAAACTCCTCATAATTTGAATTATTGTTACTCTACTGAAATAATGCAAGTTCCACAGCTTTTACAAGCTGTGTTCCTTTGAGCAAGCAACTTCTCTGAACCCATTTCCTCCTCTGAAGAAGGCTGACCGGCTGTTACCAGGGTTCCATGAGCCTGAAACTTGCTGGCTAATTGTTATTGGTTTCCCACACATAGGCCAAGGTGCTACAGTGATCCCCATTTCATAGATGAGGATCTAACAGGGTAAAGTCAATGGCTGGTTGGGATCTGAGCCAGGCCCTGGTAGGACTCCGGATTCAACTCAAACTACTCAACACCCTCTTCCCCTCAGCCTCGCCAAAGAGACAAAGGGCTATCGTTAGCCCCTAAATCTTTCCACTGCAGTGGGTATGCAAATTTCACCAACCCCACCCAAGGCCTCCAGATACCTTCACCCCCATCATCATTTGTGCTGCTTTGCCCCCAACTCCCTGAATATGTTTTCTCCACGAAGTTCGTTCCTGCCCTTCAGTTCCTGAATCTAGCTTCCTCTTTAATTCCTGTTACCATCCATCCAAAGCACGGTGCCTTCCTTCTAGCCTCCTTCGTCCAGATCACAGATGTCACCTCAGATTCAACATGTCTAGAAAAAAACTTGTCATCATCTTCCCTGAAAAACCAGTCCCACCCCTCTCCCCTTCTCTGGTCTCATCAAAGATACCGCTCCCTACAACCACCAGTCCCCCAAACATGCAAAAGACTGCTCTCTGGGAGTTCCGCTATAAACAAGTACCTATGAGGTTTTTTGGGGGGTTTTTTGTTTGTTTTTTTTTTGTTGTTGTTTTTTTGAGACGGAGTCTCCCTGTGTCTCCCAGACTGGAGTGCAGTGGCATGATCTCGGCTCACTGCAAGCTCCACCTCCCGGGTTCACGCCATTCTCCTGCCTCAGCCTCCCGAGTAGCTGGGACTACAGGCGCCCGCCACCAC